GCGTGTTTTTCTTTGTTCCTGACAGGAGAGTGTTATTTAATCTTTTTCGAGAGCTTCTTCGAGGTTTCGAGGACGCTCCCTCCACTTGCAAGCTCAAAGACGCGTCTTGCCGAGTGATCTTGGTATTCGTGTGTCAGATTTTCTTGGACCGCTGCCCTTTTTCGGCGTCTCTTGCCATTTGGAGACTGTGTTGGCTAGAATGGAGTCAAACATTCGCGTAGTGGAGGCATGTATAAATTTCAGAGGTACGGAAGAATTTTAAGTAGATAAGGTTAACGATAAAGGATTACAAAAATTCTTCATCTAGTGAACGATATTTAAATTACCTACAGCTCTGATCTAGAATTCTATTTCTCAATTCTATCAAAAACGAAATCGCAGTTATCAAGGAGTGACTTTCACAATATAGAAAAGTTAATATTTCAGATTAGCAGAAAATTCACGATTTAATTTTCTCGACAGAAAATGTCTGTAACACGTAACCAAGGAATTCCTAACGCAAAAGTGGATCGCAGAAAAGTTTCATTTCTCGCAAAACCGACCGCTGAGAGTTCCAGAAGCTCATCGGGGGCTGCGCCAATGGTCGAGCAAACGTGTTCCGTTTCCTCCGTGCCGGGGAGCAACGTGAAATCATTACATTCCTGGACAAAAGCGGGCGACGTGATCGCTACCCTTCGCAAACGTAACAGTTCACGGGGAGAAAAGAAGCGGTCGGACAAAGGGGGTTGCGCTGGCTTTCGCGATCGAGCCGGTTTCTTTCTCCCTCTCTCTCCCTCAGTCTCTCCCTCCCTCTCCCCCTACCCCCTCTCTCTCACTCTCTCTCGAGGGTCTCGCGGAACTAAAGACGGGCAAAGAGTCGAGGAAAATGCGCCTCGGGGATGCGGCATCCGGGGTAGCATCCCCTATGTCAAATGGAGACGTTATTAACGCGAGCATGGACTCGCACATTCTCGCAGTTTCCATGACGGTCGGGGGTTTTTCGGGAGGTGGGTGAAGGATAGAAGAATGAGAACAGGGTGCAACGGCAAGGAGAAACGCGGCGGAGGGCTGTACTCGCGAGGACGCGCGCGCGCGGACGCAGCGACAAACGTAGAAGAAGTTGTTGTCGAGAAAGCGCGGGGGGAGAACGCATATGAATAGAGTGGAAACAACGAAGGAAAAAATGGGGAGGCGAAGAGTGTAGAACTAGCGTAAGAGGCTTTCTACTCGAGAATATTATTCCCGGAGGGTGGAATAATAAGAGGGACTGACGAAGAACAGTAGAAATGAAGATACTGGAGGACAACGAGGAAGATTGGACTTGAAACGTATTTCGACTATGTCGATTCAAAGGCAATTATTTAATCGAACGGGGGTGAGTCCTAAGCAAGAGGCTGGGATAATAAGACAAATGAAGGGAGGACCTGGTATGAGAAGATACTGAAGAATGGAGGAAGAGGGGTGAGGAGTTTAACTCGAAGTATTCCAAAAGTGTATGAATTCGAAAGTAATTATTTAGTATAAACATGAATTCTAATCAATTTCCTAAATCCCGAAGGAAAACAGATAAAAAAGTCATCCATTCAAAAACTGCTATAAAAAAAATACGACTTCAATGATTACCTCTAAATTCGGTCATGAAAACACGGTTGGCCCGTGACTCTCAAACAAGACCTAGGTAAAAATTCCTTTCCCGGTGAACCTGTTCGGAATTCAAGCACGCTAAAAAAAAAATATCCTCGAAGGAAACGGACGAGGGAATAAATAAATAAAGCGAGAGCGAGGAAGAAACGTCGCTAAAAGGAAGGAGGAAACAG